AGATAGTTCAAGCCATGACTTGTCATAATTGTGATGATTATAGCTTACAGCTCATGAAAACCCCAAATCCACAATCTCAGAAAATTAGAATATTTACATGCAATCAATAAAACAAGGATTGTACATAGAACAATATCGGACCTCTGAAAAGTATAAGCATGCATATGTACTCAGTACTTGGTTTGGGCTCCTTTTGCAGCAATTACTGCCTCAATGTGGTGTGGCATGGAAGCTATCAGCCTGTGGCACTGCTGAGTTTTATGGAAGACCAGGGTGCTTCAATAGTGGCCTTCAGCTCTTCTGCATTGTTCGGTCTCATGTCTCTCATCTTTCTCTTGGCAATGCCCCATAGATTCTCTATGGGGTTCAGGTCAGGCAAGTCCTGCTGGAAAATGAAGTCAGCATCCCCATAAAGCTCATCTGTGGAAGGAAGCATGAAGTGCTCCAAAATCTCCTGGTAGATGGCTGTGTTGACCCTGGACTTAATGAAGCACAATGGACCAACACTAGCAGATGACATGACTCCCCAAATCAACACAGACTGTGGAAACTTCACACTGGACTTCAAGCATCTTGCAGTGTGTGCCTCTCCATTCTTCCTCCATACTCTGGGTCCTTGGTTTCCAAATGAGATGCAAAAGTTGCTCTCATCAGAAAAGAGGACTTTGGACCACTGAGCAACAGACCAGGTCTGTTTTTCTTTAGCCCAGGTAAGATGCTTCTGACATTGTTTGTTGTTCAGGAGCAGATTGACAAGAGGAATACGACATTTGAAGCCCATATCCAGGATCCGTCTGTGTGTGGTGGCTGTTGATGCACTGACTCCAGCCTCAGTCCACTCCTTGTGAAAGTCCCCAACACTTTTGAATGGCCTTTTCCTGACAATCCTCTCCAGGCTGTGGTCATCCCTGCTGCTTGTGCACCTTTTTCTTCCACACTTTTCCCTTCCACATAACTTTCTATTAATGTGCTTTGATACAGCACTTTGGGAACATCCAACTTCTTTTGCAATTACCTTTTGAGGCTTTCCCTCCTTATGGAGGGTGTCAATGATGGTTTTCTACACAACTGTCAGGTCAGCAGTCTTTCCCACGATTGTGATTCCTACTGAACCAGACTGAGAGACCATTTAAAGGCTCAGGAACCCTTTGCAGGTGTTATGGCTTAATTAGCTGATTAGAGTGGGAAACTTTGAGCCTAGAATATTGCACCTTTTCACAATATTCTAATTTTCTGAGATTGTGGATTTGGGGTTTTCATGAGCTGTAAGCCATAATCATCACAATTATGACAACTTGAACTATCTTGATTTGCATGTAATGAGTCTATATCTTAAATTAGTTTCACCTTTTAAGTTGCATTACTGAAATAAATGAACTTTTGCACGATATTTTAGTTTTTTGAGTTTCACTTGTACAATGTATAAATAATATCCACAAGTCTACTGGAATTGATGTTTAGAAAAACATGTATGTTATAGTAGACAGTGTTTTAAAAAGATCCATGAATTAACACTGCTGAAAGCCCTTGTACTCAGTCACTGTTCTATGGTGAGCCAGGTACCAGCTTCTATGTAGCTCATTGTCACTCAGTAAACTTCAACAAAGATGGATGAAGAGCTTCACATGGTTGACATCACTCAGTAGTATTTTATTCAACCAGACTGGCTTACCAAACAGTTTACTCCCAGAGGTCACTCCCCTCTGATGCATTTTACCCTTATTGGCTTTATTCATAGACTTAAGACTAGCCCGGATGGGGGAATATTATATTATACAAGCAATTAAAACCAATTACAACAATCAACATCTTGATTAACCCTGAAGGGATTAGAGAGGGAGGGAAGGGGAGGGGATAAAAATAAATAATTCTTGAAGGTTATTCACAAAAGTGTATTATATCCCATTCAAAATTCATCCCATTGGGAACAGACCCCCTCTCTCTCTCTCCCTCTCTCTCCCTCTCTCACTCAGTAGCAAGACGTGACTCCCTCCTCTGTGGGACAATCAACCCTTTCAAGAATTTGTACTGTAAAGGACTTTGTATTAGACTGTTGACATTCTACAAAATGTCTTGCTACATTGATATTCTTACGCATCATTCTGGCTGATTGCCCCATTTTTAAGGAATCACCATTTGAAATAGATACATCTGTGTGGGCATCACCTAAAATGACACAACTGGAGCAATGTGGGTCACCGCACCTAAACATTAGACAGTTAGTCAATTGTCTATGGAGACACATCAAATATTTAATTTCCTTCCTGATATACAGGAAGCATACATCACGGGACACAGAGCAGGGTATAAATCATTGCTACCTAGGTAATGTGTCACCTATAAGTGAATAGACTAATAGTATACTACCCAAGTCAGTGTCTTAAAAAGTAAGCCAAAAAATCATTTAAGGAGAAATAGGGGGATACTTTACCCTAATTGTAGACATATCCAGAAACAAAAAAGCAAATTCAGATGGACTTTCTTAGTACCCCATGAATAAAACCACAAACATACAGTATAAAAAGACAATTTTATTACAACTTTAAAAGCATGTCCAAATAGACTAAAACATATATCATAACGCCTCAAAACAACTGGAGAAGGTTGTTCTATAATCCAAAGATATACATTATTTCAAAACAGTGAATAAATGCATAAAAATAGTATAACAGGAACAACAGACTCCATATATTGCATTTTCCTCTACATGTTTTGTGGCATAAACCACTTCTTCAGGAGATGGAAGGGATTCAATTCAAATTCCACTTTAAACTGCAAAAGGGGTTACACAAAAGCAAACCCAGAGCCCAGGGGGCAGGTGTGGGAGCAGACCAGGAATGGACACTTAATCATATAAAGAGAATCAAAAGGAACCTCACAGATACAATTTGGTCAAAGGTATAGGTCCTGAGTGGAGGAACAAATGTTTTTCAAAAACAGTGGTATAGCATTGTCCAGGTGCACACAATTAAATTGGACTAATAGGCACTGTCACGCGCCGACTGACGGTAGCCTCTAGTGGTCCACTGATCGGAGTCCCTCAGGGCGTGGAGTCTAAGCCTCAGTCTGCTGGTTCACCAGAGCCCCTGGTGGTGGGGATGGACTTAAAGCAGCCTGAGACCAGGTCGCGACCCCCAGCTGTGGTAAAGGTAGCCGCCAATGGCGTAGAGCAGGTAGGAGCCAGATGTGAAGAGGTATAGCAAGGTCAGACAGGCCGGGTTGGTAACAGCGGATCAGACGGTACAGATCGGTAGGCAAAGAATAGTCAGGTCACAAGCTGGGTTTAGCAACAGGAGGTCAGGCACTGGGAGCAGGCAGAGAATGGTCAGGATGAGCCAAGGGTCAGGACTGGAGAGAGCAACGGTATCAGGATCAGGCTGTGTCGGCAACAATACAATCAGGAACACAGGGCATACAGGAACACAGGAACAAGGAAGTAAGACCATAAGGCGATTTTGAGATGCACAGGGCTGGTTTAAATAGGCAGGGTGACAGGCGCGTGCCCGCGATCGCGAGTGCGCATGCGCAGCCGCCGCGCTCGCCGGCTAGTATGAGTCGGCAATCTGCGCGTGCACGCACCTCCGAGCGGCAGGGATCCCTGACAGGCACCCTCAGAAGAACAGATACCAATCACTGCAGGCTAGGGTAAAAGTCAGTCCATACACCATGCACCTGTACCAGTGGGCTGGTACAGTGATCTTTCATTGGCTATGTTCAATGGACACAGCTGGTGACTGATCGTGCTTACAACGCATTCCAGGACGTCATATGACATCCATCCGGAATAAAGAAAGTCACACCCAACAATCATTTTACAATAGGCCAGGTGGACTTTCCTCGTTCTGGGTGGACGTCATATGACATCCTCCTGGAACCGCACCAAGAGTGCAATCTGGCACCAGTTGTGTCCACTGGACAGAGCCGATAAAAGATCCCAGTACCAGCCCACTGCTGGTACAATATTATCACTATGGCCAATCACAGCAGATCACATGACACTTGTAAACAATGAATGGCTTTGATTCATGCAATTCCTTGAGTACAATTGTGTTACTAGCTGTGATTGGTCACAGTGATCACATGGTACAGACAGGGCCAATCACAGCCCATTTATTCCATGTGATTAGCTGTGGCCAATCATTTCTAATCACTAGATTGTAAGCTCAAAAGATCAGGGCCCTCGATCCCCCCATGTTTTGCATTGTATTGTTACTGTTCTGTCACATGTTCTGTCCCCCTTTGTAATGTACAGCGCTGAGTGAACTATTGGCGCTTTATACATACTGTATAATAATAATAAATAAATAATAATCACAACAATACTTACTGAATGAATCGATTTCATTCAGTAAAAATGCTTGCTTATAGCAGTGAAAATCACTGGTATAAGCAATCATAATGTGTAAAAAACCCTCCAAAAAACCTGATTACTTCCCCATGGTTCAATGTTACTATGGTAACATTTTATTGCTCTGGTCAAAGTGTGTTGAAAAACAATAGGAAAAAAAAGAAAAAGCTGTAATAGAAAAAAAAAAAAAGTTTTTTCAATTATTCATTTTTTTTCTGTGCTGTCACCAGTTAGTGTCCCTGATCAACTCCACACCAGTTATATGATTCTGTTGTACTGTACTGGTGACAGTGTGTAAAAAAAATTTTTTACTTTCTTCATTACTTCATTTTCCACAATATAGTGACAAAAAAATTACAACATCAAAAAACTCTCAATGTCTTCTCCTAAATACTGTGGACTGTCTACTTTCCAAAAATAGGTCATTCTGTTGATGGATTTTCAGATATATACCATAGTTTGAAGACTCTATAACTTCTCTACAGACTAAAAAATAAACACTCATTTGGTTATTTTTCACTAGAGATGAGCGAAGAAATGAAAAATTCGATTCGACTGATTCGGCGAATTCGTGGACAATATTCGATTCGAGTCGAATAAATTCGCTGTGAATTTAACTTAAAAAAGGGTGTTTCTAGGCTTCAGAGAGACTTAATATTAGTGCAGAACACTGTACCTTTAATTTAAATGCCCTTGGAGTCTGCTGGGAAGAGAAATAATACTGTCACTCAGTCATGACATGCAGATGAGTGCCGTCGATCTTAGAATCACCGCACACTTCACTCATTTGGCCAGTCACGGGGCCAAAACCAGTGTTTGGAGCCACAGTGTGGCGGTGGAGGCAGCAGCAATGGGAGGCCATACAGCAACCTATGACAAAATGGAAACCAGCAGGAGTGTGAGGAGACCTGAAAGTGGCACATGCAGTGGGAGCAATGGGAGGCGGTACAAGGACCCATGTCACACTGTGGACCCAGCAGCAGCGTGACCAGGCGGTGACGGGGGCCCATGGCAGATTACAGGCCTGGCAGCAGCAGCAATGGGAGGCCCGTAATCTGCCCAGCACCCTATGACAAAAAATGGAACACACCAGCAGCAGTGTGTGTGAGGAGACCTGAAAGTGGCACATGGCAGAGTGTGGCGATGGAGACAGCAGCAATGGGAGGCCGTACAGGGACCCATGAGAGACTCTGGACCTGGCAGCAGCATGAGGAGGCGGTATAGGGGCCCATGGCAGATTAGGGGCCTGGCAGCAGCTATAGGAGGCCCGTAATCTGCCAGCACCCTATGACAAAAAATTGAACACACCAGCAGTGTGTGAGGAGACCTGAATAAGTGGCACATGCAGCACAATGGCATGAGACACTCTGGACCTGGCAGCAGCATGAGGAGGCGGTATATAGGGGCCCATGGCAGATTAGGGGCCTGGCAGCAGCTATGGGAGGCCCGTAATCTGCCAGCACCCTATGTCAAAAAATTGAAAACACAAGCAGTGTGTGTGGAGGAGACCTGAAAGTGGCACATGTTTGGGGCATGATTACATGGCGGATTTAGTCAGTTGTGTCAGGAACTAGTGGTTTGAAATCCAGACTAATCCACGCCTGATTCATTTTCACAAACGTGAGTCTCTCCACACTTTGGGTGGACAGTCGTGTCCTCCGCGGAGTTGCAATACATCCTGCCGCACTAAACACACGCGCTCCGATGCCCACGCTACTGGCCGGGCATGACAGCACTTTCAAGGGCAAATTCAGCTAGTTGGGGGGCAAAGGTCAAGTTTTGTTGCCCAGTAGTCAAGGGGATTGTCTACCTCGGTTGGCAGGGTGCTGTCCAAGTAGGCCTAAGCCTGTTGTTTGAGGGTCCTGCTCCAGGTCCACCTGATGCTGCTGCTGCTGCGGCTGGTTAGTAGTTTCCTCACTGCCCTGGTGAAGAAAGCTACTCATCATCGACTGCAGACTGAGGCAGCCGCTGCTGGTGGAGCTGCCACTGCTCCTACCACCCCCACCCCTCCCCCTGCTGCCATGGCAGCGGAACGCGAGCGCACAGGGCCCACAGTGTCTCTGTGGGATGGACGTTGGCGCAGAAAGGCAGAGACCAGCTGACTACATAGGTGGTTTTTTGTATAGTACGTTATTTTGGGAGGCCTCCCTCTCAGCAGGTGTGAAAAAGGCCACCAGTTTTTGAACGGGTAGCGAGGGTCCAACAAGGTGGACAGCCAAAAGTCATCCCTCTGTCTGATTGGTTATTATTCGGCTGTCGTACTACGGCAAGCAAGCGAGCATGCTATGGGCCATTTGTGCCAGGAGGAATGCGAGGGACTCCCTGCCTCCATCTCCACAGCATACTGCCACGGTGCGTCTGGGTCCTCTGTCTCCTCCTCCCTCCTCAGACTCCTCTACCAGATGCTCCTGCTCCTCCACTCCTGTCCAGCTGAGTGGAAAAAAACCACCCATTTCACAAAATAATTCCTGAGCACCAATGTCCTCCTCTACTCCTCCTCTTCTTCCTGTCCTGCCCCACAGGGGTCATGTGGCGTTGAGATCTGTGCGCCACGTCAGACCGCACCCTGACCAGCCATTGTTAACAGCATTTGTTCCAGGACGTGCAACAGAGGAATGACGTCGTTCATCCCATAGTCCTGCCGACTCACGAAATAGCGTGGCCTCCTCCTCAAAGGGCCTGAGCAAGCGCAGGTGTCACGCATGAGCTGCCAACATATGGCTGACATCTAAGTTACACAGGGAGTACCTTTATCCGCTTTTAAACATCAGGAAATCTGTGATGGCCTAGCTGTTCGTAAAGGCGGTCTAACTATATGTAGGGTTGAATTCCACCTTGTTGCAACGTCACAGCATGAGCGCATGAGGAGTCGGTACGGGGTACAGGGGCCCATGGCAGATTAGGGGCCTGGCAGCAGCAATGGGAGGCCCCGTAATCTGCCAGCACCCTATGTCAAAAAAATGAACACACCAGCAGTGTGTGAGGAGACCTGAAAGTGGCACATGGCAGAGTGTGGCGATGGAGACAGCAGCAATGGGAGGCCGGTACAGGGACCCATGAGAGACTCTGGACCTGGCAGCAGCATGAGGAGGCGGTACTATAGGGGGCCTATGGGCAGATTAGGGGCCTGGCAGCAGCTATGGGAGGCCCGTAATCTGCCAGCACCCTATGATGTCAAAAAATTCTACACAACACCAGCAGTGTGAGGAGACCTGAAAGTGGCACATGGCAGAGTGTGGCGATGGAGACAGCAGCAATGGGAGGCCGTACAGTGACAGACTCTGGGACCTGAGAGCTAGACTACTGGACCTGGGCAGCAGCATGAGGAGGCGGTATATATACGGGGGGCCCATGGCAGATTAGGGGCCTGGCAGCAGCTAATGGGAGGCCCGTAATCTGGCCTGCCAGCACCCTATGTCAAAAAATGGAAACACACCAGCAGTGTGTGAGGAGGACCTGAAAGTGGCACATGGCAGAGTGTGGCGATGGAGAACAGCAGCAATGGGAGGCCGTACAGGGACCACATGTCACAGACTGAGCAGCAGAGATGACTTGGACCTTGGCAGCAGCATGAGGAGGCGTGTAGGTATAGGGGCCCATGGCAGATTAGGGGCCTGGCAGCAGCAATGGGAGGCCCGTAATCTGCCAGCACCCTATGTCAAAAAATTCTACACACCAGCAGTGTGTGAGGAGAGACCTGAAAGTGGCACATGGCAGAGTGTGGCGATGGAGGACAGCAGCAGCAATGGGAGGCCGTACAGGGACCCATGAGAGACTCTGGACCTGGCAGCAGCATGAGGAGGCGGTACAGGGGCCCATGGCAGATTAGGGGCCTGGCAGCAGCTAATGGGAGGCCCGTAATCTGCCAGCACCCTATGTCAAAAAATTCTACACACCAGCAGTGTGTGAGGAGACCTGAAAGTGGCACATGGCAGAGTGTGGCGATGGAGACAGCAGCAATGGGAGGCCGTACAGGGACCCATGAGAGAGACAGACTCTGGACCTGGCAGCAGCAGCATGAGGAGGCGGTGGTATATAGGGGCCCATGGCAGATTAGGGGCCTGGCAGCAGCTATGGGAGGCCCGTAATCTGCCACACTATGTCAAAAAATTTCAACACCAGCACCAGCAGTGTGAGGTGACCGGAGAGACTGAAAGTGGCACATGGCAGAGTGTGGCGATGGAGACAGCAGCAATGGGAGGCCGTACAGGGACCCATGAGAGACTCTGGACCTGGCAAAACAATGCAGCAGCATAGAGGAGGCGGCGGTATATAGGGGGCCCATGGCAGATTAGGGGCCTGGCAGCAGCTATGGGAGGCCCGTAATCCCATGCAGATTAGCCAGCACCCTATGTCAAAAAAATTCTACACAGCAGCAGTGTGTGAGGAGACCTGAAAGTGGGCACATGGCAGAGTGTGGCGATGGAGACAGCAGCAATGGGAGGGCCGTACAGGGACCCCATGAGAGGACTCTGGACCTGGCAGCAGCATGAGGAGGCGGTATAGGGGCCCATGGCAGATTAGGGGCCTGGCAGCAGCAGCAATGGGAGGAGCCCGTAATCTGCCAGCAGCACCCTATGTCAAAAAATTCTAATTCTGACACACCAGCAGTGTGTGAGGAGACCTGAAAGTGGCACATGGCAGAGTGTGGCGATGGAGACAGCAGCAATGGGAGGCCGTACAGGGACCCATGAGAGACTCTGGACCTGGCAGCAGCATGAGGAGGCGGTATATAGGGGCCCATGGCAGATTAGGGGCCTGGCAGCAGCTATGGGAGGCCCGTAATCTGCCAGCACCCTATGTCAAAAAATTCTACACACACCAGCAGTGTGTGAGGAGACCTGAAAGTGGCACATGGCAGAGTGTGGTGGCGATGGAGACAGCAGCAATGGGAGGCCGTACAGGGACCCATGAGAGACTCTGGACTGGCAGCGGCAGCAGCATGAGGAGGCGGTATATAGGGGCCTATGGCAGATTAGGGGACCTGGCAGCAGCTATAGGGAGGCCCGTAATCTGCCAGCACCCTATGTCAAAAAAATTCTACACACCAGCAGTGTGTGAGGAGACCTGAAAGTGGCACATGGCAGAGTGTGGCGATGGAGACAGCAGCAATGGGAGGCCGTACAGGGACCCATGAGAGACTCTGGACCTGGGCAGCAGCATGAGGAGGAGGCGGTATATAGGGGCCTATGGCAGAGATTAGGGGCCTGGCAGCAGCAGCTATGGGAGGCCCGTAATCTGCCAGCACACCTATGTCAAAAAATTCTACACACCAGCAGCAAGTGTGTGAGGAGACCTGAAAGTGGCACATGGCAGAGTGTGGCGATGGAGACAGCAGCAATGGGAGGCCGTACAGGGACCCATGAGAGACTCTGGACCTGGCAGCAGCATGAGGAGGCGGTATATAGGGGCCCATGGCAGATTAGGGGCCTGGCAGCAGCTATGGGAGGCCCGTAATCTGCCAGCACCCTATGTCAAAAAAATTCTAACACACCAGCAGTGTGTGAGGAGACCTGAAAGTGGCACATGGCAGAGGATATGTGTGGCGATGGAGACAGCAGCAATGGGAGGCCGTACAGGGGACCCATGAGAGACTCTGGACCTGGCAGCAGCATGAGGGCCAGGCGGTATATAGGGGCCCATGGCAGATTAGGGGCCTGGCAGCAGCTATGGGAGGCCCGTAATCTGCCAGCACCCCTATGTCAAAAAATTTCTACACACCAGCAGTGTGTGAGGAGACCTGAAAGTGGCACATGGCAGAGTGTGGCGATGGAGACAAGCAGCAGCAATGGGAGGCCGTACAGGGACCCATGAGAGACTCTGGACCTGGCAGCAGCATGAGGATAGGGCGGTATATAGGGGCCCATGGCAGATTAGGGGCCTGGCAGCAGCTATGGGAGGGCCGTAATCTGCCAGCACCCTATGTCAAAAAATTTCTACACACCAGCAGTGTGTGAGGAGACCTGAAAGTGGCACATGGCAGAGTGTGGCGATGGAGACAGCAGCAATGGGAGGCCGTACAGGGACCCATGAGAGACTCTGGACCTGGCAGCAGCATGAGGGAGGCGGTATATTATAGGGGCCCATGGCAGATTAGGGGCCTGGCAGCAGCAGCTATGGGAGGCCCGTAATCTGCCAGCACCCTATGTCAAAAAATTCTACACACCAGCAGTGTGTGAGGAGACCTGAAAGTGGCACATGGCAGAGTGTGGCGATGGAGACAGCAGCAATGGGAGGCCGTACAGGGACCCATGAGAGACTCTGGACCTTAGCCTCTGCAGCAGCATGAGGAGGGCCAAAGTTATATAGGGGCCCATGGCAGATTAGGGGCCTGGCAGCAGCAATGGGAGGCCCGTAATCTGCCAGCACCCTATGTCAAAAAATTCTACTCACACCAGCAGTAGTGTGAGGAGACCAAAATGGCCAAGTGGCACATGGCAGAGTGTGGCGATGGAGACAGCAGCAATGGGAGAGGCCGTACAGGGACCCATGAGAGACTCTGGACCTGGCAGCAGCATGAGGAGGCGGTGTATATAGGGGCCTATGGCAGATTAGGGGCCTGGCAGCAGCATGCAATGGGAGGCCCGTAATCTGCCAGCACCCTATGTCAAAAAAAACACAACACACCAGCAGTGTGTGAGGAGACCTCAAAGTGGCACATGTTTGAGGCATGATTCATGGCGGATTTTAGTCAGTTGTGTCAGGAACTGCTGGTGGTTTGAAATCCAGGACTAATCCACGCCTGATTCATTTTCACAAACGTGAGTCTCTCCACACTTTGGGTGGACAGTCGTGTCCTCCGCGGAGTTTACAATACCTCCTGCCGCACTAAACACGCGCTCCGATGCCACGCTACTGGGCCGGGCATGACAGCCTTTCAAGGGCAAATTCAGCTAGTTGGGGCCAAAGGTCAAGTTTCGTTGACCAGTAGTCAAGGGGATTGTCTACCTCGGTTGGGCAGGGTGCTGTCCAAGTAGGCCCAAGCCTGTTGTTTGAGCTCCTGCTCCAGGGTCCACCATGATGCTGCTGCTGCTGCTGCTGCTGCTGCTGCTGCGGCTGGTAGTAGTTTCCTCACTGCGCTGGTGAAGAAGAAAGCTACTCATCATCGACTGCAGACTGAGGCAGCCGCTGCTGGTGGAGCTGCCACTGCTCCTACCACCCCACCCCTCCCCTGCTGCCATGGCAGCAGCGGAACGCGAGCGCACAGGGCCCACAGTGTCTGAGGATGGACGTTGGCGCACAAAGGCAGAGAGACCAACTGACTACATAGGTGGTTTTTTATAGTACGTTATTTTGGCCTCCCTCTCAGCAGGTGTGAAAAAGGCCACCATTTTTTGAACGGTAGCTAGCGAGGGTCCAACAAGGTGGACAGCCAAAAGTCATCCCTCCCTCTGTCTGATGGTTATTATTCGGCTGTCGCTACGCAAGCAACCTTCCCGAGCATGCTATGGGCCATTTGTGCCAAGGAATGCGAGGGACTCCCTGCCTCCATCTCCACAGCATACTGCCACGGTGCGTGCGTCTGGGTCCTCTGTCTCCTCCTCCTCTCCTCTACCAGATGCTCCTGCTCCTCCACTCCTGTCCGCTGAGTGGAAAAACCACCCATTTCACTCAATAATTCCTGAGCACAAATGTCCTCCTCTACCTCCTCCTCTTCTTCCTGTCCTGCCCCCACAGGGGTCATGTGGCGTTGAGATCTGTGCGCCACGTCTACCGCACCCTGACCAGCCATTGTTGTTAACAGCATTTGTTCAAGGACGTGCAACAGAGGAATGACGTCGTTCATCCCATAGTCCTGCCGACTCACGAATAGCGTGGCCTCCTCAAAGGGCCTGAGCAAGCGGCAGGTGTCACGCATGAGCTGCCAATGGCTGACATCGAAGTTACACAGGGGAGTACCTTTATCCGCTTGTAACATCAGGAAATCGGTGATGGCCTTTCGCTGCTCGTAAAGGCGGTCTAACATGTGTAGGGTTGAATTCCACCTTGTTGCAACGTCGCAGATCAGGCGATGATGTGGAATTCCGTTCTGCCGCTGCAGCTCAAGGAGGGTGTGCTTTGCGGTGTAGGAATGGCTGAAATGCATGCAAAGTTTACGTGACATTTTTAAGGATGTCTTGCAGTGGGATGGTGGATTTTAGGAACCGCTTGACAACCAGATTGAACACGTGAGCCATGCATGGCGCATGGCACAACCTTCCTTGACGCAGAGCAGACACCATGTTCTTTCCGTTGTCGGTCAACATGGTTCCGATTTTCAGTTTGCGCGGAGACAGCCATCTGTCGATTTCTCTGTTCATTACACTCAGAAGTTCCTCCCCTGTGTGACTACGTTCGCCAAGGCATACCAGGTGCAGCACAGCGTGACACACCGTTGCGCCCTGCACATGTGATATGCCGGTCGGGTAATGGGACTTGGCACGGGGGTGGCGGCTGGCGAGGACACGGCGGAAGAAGAGGTGGTAGAGGCGGACATCTTTTTGCCGGACCAAGGACGTGCAAACGTGGAGGCAAAAGCGGCGTGACCTGTCCAAGTTGCTGGTGCGGCTGTGACGGCACCACGTTCACCCAGTGGGCCGTAAATGACATGTACTGTCCCTGACCGTAGTTACAGCTCCACACGTCGGCGCTGCCGTGCACTTTGGCAGAGACCGACATGCTCAAAGACTGGCCCACCATCTCTTCTACATGTGAATGCAGGGCTGGCACTGCCTTTTTGGCGAAGAAATGACGGCTTGGCACTCTCCACCGCGGCGCGGCACAAGCCATCATTTCTCGGAAAGGTGCTGAGTCCACCACTTGGAAAGGGAGGGACTGCAGCACCAGCAACTTGGACAGGAGGAGGACGTTCAGCTTTTGCACCGTCGGGTGCGTGCGTGCTCGCAAACTGTTGTCTCTTGGAAACGGATTCCAAGAAAGACTGCTGACGGAATCCGTGAAGAGGAGTAGCAGGAGAAGGAGCATCTGAACGAGCGGAAGATGCCAACGAGCAACAACTCCCCCTCAGCAGAGGTGTTGGAGCCTTGACTGGCTGATGGAGGGCGATTGACGCCGGGTGACGGAGCAAGTAACGGGTAAACGGGGTGATGGAGCGGGGGCTGGGGGCGGGCAGAACCGCCGTTATCTTTATCACGGTTTTCCCAGGCCACCAAATGGCGACGCTGCATATGCTGACGCAACGCTGTAGTCCAACATGGGCCCCCCTGGCCACGCTTGACTTTCTGGCCACATAGTCGACATACGGCTACGTTTACTTCCTCGGGCGGCTTGACGGAAAAATTGCCACACCGCCGAGTAGGAAACTTTGCCCCCGATACTCCTCACACTGGCTGACTGCTGCTTCCTCCGTGCACACCGGCACCACTACTGGCCGTGGTGGGTAGGCTGCAGTGGAGCTGGTGCTCTACTCCGTGGCCGTTTGGCTGACACTGCTCCACTGACACTGCTGCTGCGACCCTGCTGCTGTCTCCTGGGCAACCCACCGACTGTTTTTTCGCTCGCTGCCAAAGAGCTG